GCTGACGTGATGCGTGATGTCGGGTGAGGATGGAGTCCATTCGTGCCTACTACGAACACCCGGCGGCCCACGCAAACGTGCCGCCCAGAGTGAGTACACATTAGTATACACTAGTACATATTAGTACTCAGTCTTTTATATTAATGAATTTATGGCATAAATGAACCCGCAGAGATTGTTTTTTTACAGTAGATGAGTACTGTATATTTCGATCTTACAATGAGGTCCCGGGCGTAGATTTAAAAGAGTGGTGGTGGTGGTGATGATGGTGGTGGTGATGGTGGTGGTGATGGTGATGATGGTGGCAGTATGGCGGGGGTGATTGGTGGTGGTGGTGATAGGGGTAGTGGTGATTATGATAGTGGTGATGGTAGTGGTGGTGTTTCAGGAACCACGTCCCCAGCCCTGCCTTTTTGAATCCACACACAAATCAATAAAAAATAACTAATAAAATGCAGCTGAAAGTCTATAACTAAGAATGAATGGCAGTATCGGTTCCTTCTTCAGGAAACGCTGCAGTCTCCTGACACAGGTCTTAGACGACTCGCTCAGCAGTACATCACACGCTGGCCTACCCGAGCTTAGAGAGATACGCTGTGCAAAATTCGGAGACTCACAACCTAGCATTACCTTAAACAATTTTAGGTATGCATTAATATTTTAGAATGATTTAGTGGTCGTAAGTTAACTGGGATTACTTGTAGTTCCAAACCAGTTAAATGATTTCAGACATTGGCCAGTGTTGATATTGTTAAGTTTTGGAGATGAGAGGATTTTTAATTATAGCCCTAAATTGATTGGTCTATTGAAGATGGCTTCATTACGAGGTCGAAATATGCAGTACTATTTTTATCCCCCCTCTTTAGTTTCATTAACTTTGATTTATTACCCAGTGCTTGATGCTACATTTTTGAGGTAACATTAACTCAATTTAAGTTGTTTAAATCTGTTTATTATTATTTTAATTAGCCTTTATAAATTCCCTATTATTTGTGTTAATGTATTCACGGGCGAGAGCTAAATCCTTAAGGAATTTAGCGAGAGGAATGAGAGGTAACAAGATTCGAGCATTATATTGATGATATAAATGCTGACAGAGTCATCAATAAGATCACATGTGCAACACTTGGGTATCTGTACTGGCTAAGAGACTCAACACTTTATATACAGACTCAGGGAACCAACACTTTATATCAAAGGTGAGAGATCGAACACTCTACATCAACTCTAAGTGACTGAACATTTTATATAACGGCTAAGAGCCTGAACACTTTATACCAAGGCTAAGAGCCTGAACACTTTATACCAAGGCTAAGAGCCTGAACACTTTATACCAAGGCTAAGAGCCTGAACACTTTATACCAAGGCTAAGAGCCTGAACACTTTATACCAAGGCTAAGAGCCTGAACACTTTATACCAAGGCTGAGGGACTGAACACTTTATACCAAGGCTAAGAGTCTGAACACTTTATACCAAGGCTGAGGGACTGAACACTTTATACCAAGGCTGAGGGACTAAACACTTTATACCAAGGCTAAGAGTCTGAACACTTTATACCAAGGCTGAGGGACTGAACACTTTATACCAAGGCTGAGGGACTGAACACTTTATACCATGGCTGAGGGCTGAACGCTTTATACCAAGGCTAAGAGCCTGAACACTTTATACCAAGGCTAAGAGTCTGAACACTTTATACCAAGGCTGAGGGACTGAACACTTTATACCATGGCTGAGGGCTGAACGCTTTATACCATGGCTGAGGGACTGAACACTTTATACCAAGACTGAGGGACTGAACACTTTATACCAAGGCTGAGGAACTGAACACTTTATACCAAGGCTGAGGGGCTGAACACTTTATACCATGGCTGAGGGACTGAACACTTTATACCAAGGCTGAGGGACTGAACACTTTATACCAAGGCTGAGGGACTGAACACTTTATACCAAAACTGAATGACTGAACACTTTATACCATGGCTGAGGGGCTGAACGCTTTATACCAAGGCTGAGGGGCTGAACACTTTATACCATGGCTGAGGGACTGAACACTTTATACCAAGGCTGGGGGGCTGAACACTTTATACCAAGGCTGAGGGGCTGAACACTTTATACCAAGGCTGAGGGGCTGAACACTTTATACCAAGGCTGAGGGACTGAACACTTTATACCATGGCTGAGGGACTGAACATTTTATACCAAGCCTGAGGGACTGAATACTTTATACCAAGGCTGAGGGACTGAACACTTTATACCATGGCTGAGGGACTGAACACTTTATACCAAGGCTGAGGGACTGAACACTTTATACCAAGGCTGAGGGACTGAACACTTTATACCAAGGCTGAGGGACTGAACACTTTATACCATGGCTGAGGGACTGAACATTTTTATACCAAGGCTGAGGGACTGAAAACTTTATACCATGGCTGAGGGACTGAACACTTTATACCATGGCTGAGGGACTGAACACTTTATACCATGGCTGAGGGGCTGAGCACTTTATACCATGGCTGAGGGACTGAACACTTTATACCATGGCTGAGGGACTGAACACTTTATACCATGGCTGAGGGACTGAACACTTTATACCATGGCTGAGGGACTGAACACTTTATACCATGGCTGAGGGGCTGAACACTTTATACCATGACTGAGGGCTGAACACTTTATACCAAGGCTGAGGGGCTGAACACTTTATACCAAGGCTGAGGGACTGAACACTTTATGCCATGGCTGAGGGACTGAACACTTTATACCATGGCTGAGGAACTGAACACTTTATACCAAGGCTGAGGGGCTGAACACTTTATACCATGGCTGAGGGGCTGAACACTTTATACCATGACTGAGGGTTGAACACTTTATACCAAGGCTGAGGGGCTGAACACTTTATACCAAGGCTGAGGGACTGAACACTTTATGCCATGGCTGAGGGACTGAACACTTTATACCATGGCTGAGGGACTGAATACTTTATACCAAGGCTGAGGGGCTGAACACTTTATACCATGGCTGAGGGGCTGAACACTTTATACCATGGCTGAGGGACTGAATACTTTATACCAAGGCTGAGGGGCTGAACACTTTATACCATGGCTGAGGGGCTGAACACTTTATACCATGGCTGAGGGACTGAACACTTTATACCATGGCTGAGGGGCTGGCTGAACAACTTAAAATTACCTCACCACTCCTTCCACTGTCTCCAGTATATAAGTCACCGTATTCGACTGAATAAGCCAGCTCAGAAGGCGATACGATTCGGTAGTCAAAATACCCAGTCGTTGCACACGTGTCATTTTTTTTCTCACCAGTCAAATTCGAGCCAGGGGATCAAGAGCCCTTCACCGGCCTCGGAACCTTGTTTTACATTCTTCTTCGTTGTGTTTCAGGAGTACTGTGGCAGTGTGACCCCAGCCAAGGCAAGACGCTCCTGGGGTGACCTCCTCAAGTTCCGTTCCCGAACGAAGGAGCGCCACTTGTCTGCGGTACCCGGTGCTCTCACACCGCCCACCGCCATGCCCGCCGCGCCGCCCACCCACAACTACATGGCGGAGTACCGGCAGAAGTACGGCGCCTACAACGGTACAGTGGGTCGAGCCTCGTATCAAGCCATGACTGTGGTGAAGAGCATCTCCCCTACATCAGTACCTCCTTCCAGCAACCTCCAAAAGGGTTATCCTGGCCATGGGTACCCGGCTAATGGGTATCCCGCTAATGGGTATCCCGCTAATGGGTATCCTGCTAATGGGTATCCCGCTAATGGTTACGCTAAGCATGCCACGTCAGCTGGCACCATTTCCGCCGGCACCAGGTCCACCATGTCATCCACTGTGCGCTACACTGACTGGTTTGGCTCTGTGGTGGGGCGCCGCGCCCCTGTTCGTCCCCCGCTGCCAAGTTTCACAGCAGCGCCGCCTGTGGCGCTGCACACCGCAGAGAAGAGCACAGCGTGGGACCACTACGTGACTCTCGACCCCGTGTATGATGCTCCACGAGTCGTGCCAGTTCAGCTCTACACCAATGTCTGTGTTTGTCCCGACCAGATGATTAACACCAAAGGACGCAAGAAGAAAAAGTGTAAAAGATGCGGCAGAAAGGTGGCGAGCATGCGGCATGCGACCGCCGGTGTGGCTGCTAAGGTGCGGCCAGCAATCCCAGCCAGTATGTACCAAGTCCCACCGCAGCCCGCACCCTCTGCGGCACAGCAGGCCTGGGGCTGGCAGGTGCTGGAGGAGAGAGTTTACGAGAGGTACGAGGTGCGATCTCGTCCTAGCGCTCATTCGCCTGTTCGTCCAGTCAGCGACGACGAGGAGTCGCCACCGCCAACGCCAGAGACAGTTCGTAGTGTTCGTAGCATGAAAAGTGTGAAAAGTAGCGACAGTTCAGCGACCATCACTCGTGACACGCAAGAACCTTTACGACCAGCTCCTCAACCTCCCTCCGTCCCTCGTACCTTTCCCTCCACTCCTAATGTTCCCACACCAGCCACATCTTCAAGAAGTGCCAAAGAAAATAATTTAGTAACTGAAACAGGTGAAAAACGTAGCTCCATACTTACTGACAGCCCCACGGCTTACCACTTGATCTCCCAGAGCCGCCAGACAGAGACACACACAGGTTCTGACACTGACGAACTCAGTGACAACGCTGTCGACGTCTCCTACGATGGCTGGGATGCACAGTCTCCTCCATCTACTACAGATGTTATCCAGGAAGGACAGGTTAATGTGATAACCATTGGTGACTTCCAACCTCAGTCTGTGGCTGTGATACAAACTCCAAAGGTTGAAAATGGCATTGATATGACAAATAAAGTTAGAATACATACAAATTCTACTAATTCTAATAAGAATGTCTACAGTCTAAATGATCATTCTCACAAGTATAAGAAATTTTCTAACTACAGGAACGATTCTCCACCAAGAAACACTTACAGTTCTTCGAGTAGCGACAATGCATTAAGTACTTCACCTAGCAGTAAGAGTGCAACGTCAGCTACCAGAAGCAGTAACAAGACTGGTTCATTTGATAATAAAAGTTCCTCTGTCAGTAGCAAAAGCTCTATATTAAACGGGAAACATACCTCAGCCAATGATAAAATTATTTCGCCTAGTAATAAAAATAGCACTTCCAAGAATATAAAATCAAACTTCAAGAATTCTCTGTCAGTTGGTAAAAATTCCTCAATGAATGAAAACATGTTTTCTGGTGGCAAGAATAACTCTGCCAGCAACAAAACTTCAGCAACCAGTGTACAGAAGTCCATGATGAATGGCCACATCAATTCTCCAATGAAGGTAGTGAAGGGCAGCAGCAGTAATGGTCCCAGACTGGAGGTGAAAAAGTTGCATGAGACGAGTGAGTTGCAACATGGGGGTAACACTGTCCGCATCGCGGGACAACGTATGTTGGTCCTCACCCCTGGCGGGACTCACCAACAACACACTGGATTTTCCAGTGGTGAAGATGAAAACGAAGTGAGTTTTGAGGATGACACAAGTGATTATCCCATGTCCTCACCAACTACGACTCGAGGGTCAGACACTGATACACTGCTTGAGGAAGATGATATACCCCTTGATTCATCAGAATCAACATATGACCCTCCAAGTTCACAGAATGAGCTTCCTAGTCCTAACCTTGGCTCATCTGACTCCTTACATGACTCTGACAACACGCAGTGTGAACGTTGGATGCCTGCCAGAGATACAATCGTGGAGGAAGAGGAGAATGAGGATGAGTGGCTGAAAGGAAATAATCAAAATGATGAGATTCAGGAAGACGATGATGAGTCGGCTTTACTAGGAGATGAAGATGAAAAAGACGACCCTAGTTTGAGTTCCTCGTCAACCAGTTCACCACTGCGCCAGGAGGGCTTGCGACCCACTCTCTCCGAGCTTTTGAAAGTTAAATCTATTTTGAAAAAGCCACCCTCAGTCGACACCAGCTCTGAAACTGACTCAGACTTCTACTTGCCAACATTTTCTGAGTTCAAACAAAACCAAAGGAAGAAGAAGCAGGTGCAGTTTAGGTCGTCTCATGATGTGACGGTGATCGAGGATGCTGGGGAGTCCAAGGGTCGAAAGGTGCCTTCAGCCAGAAGTCTCAGGAGAGATCGAGAGAAGGCGAAGGAGAAACAGAAAAATGAGTATAACTTGCTAGCAGACTTGCATGATGTATATTCAAGAAATAACTCGGAAATGTTTAGTAGTAATATGAATGATGACTTTAGTGATGGTAAATTTAACCATGAACAAGATACAAATATCGATATCAACAAAATGACAGTTGCTGTGGATGACACTCACTCTTCTCAAGAAGAGTTAGGAAACGAGGGAAGCCACGAACAAGACGAAGAAAAGAGTCTTTTCTCAAATAGTGAACATAACGTCAAAGTTGAACTTGGTAAGGAGAATGGATGGAGCTGGAACCAGAAGAATGAATACACTGAGAGAGGTATATATTTCTTAGTGCACAATGTTATTTTCAGATAGAATACCAGCTAACGCTGAAACCTATTTCTAGTTGACATTTATATATTAACTTTTTCTTAATGTACTTCCACACAATAGGACGACACCAGCATTCTTTAATTTTGTATAAATGATCTTATACCTAACTTCAGTATTACGTATTTTATTAATTAGAGATTGTCTTGTCGTTTTATATACCTAGGTCAATGTATAGATTAAATTGAAAAATCTAAATACTGAAAAAATAATTAAAAGTATTATGGATATAACTTGAAAAATGTGAATATCAAATATTGCAATAATTTAAAATTGGACGAAAACTGTTTTTGTGGATACTGAAAGATACTGACTCGTAGTATCATATAACAGGAATTAATGAGGCTATATGTTAATACTTCCGAGGTATTTAATTAGTTTTTAATGTGATGCCCTTTGCGTTTTTCTTCCAGATGATGAATATAAAGGGTCTAGTGTCCATCGTAGTCTGAACGATCATCAGACTTCTGGTGTGAGCACAACAGATGCCCTCGATACAATAAACATTGGTCTTAATTCAAACAGCGAGTTACCTGCTGTAAACTTTGATAACTTTATCCCACCTGTGAACACACCCACCCGACAGGCTCCACCCCCACCCAGAAGTCGGACTCTGAGTCCGACAAGGCCGAGTGTTCCGCCGCCGCCACCTCCTACTTTAAGACCATCATCACTATGTATAGCACCACCTCAGCGACCATTGCCTTCTCCTCCTGCTTTGCCACTCTGTCCACCCCCGGATTCTCCCCCACCATCTCCTACTCCTCCTCCTCTACCAACCTCGTTTCCGCCAGAACTGGAAGAGACGCAGCATATAGCCATGAACCATATCTCTGAAGATTTACCTTCACCACAGAGCCCAAGCTTCAGTAGTTTCAAGTCCAATTCCGTTTCCCTTAGAAAAGCCAAAAAGATTAATCCCTCTCTGGCTCTTCCTGCACCCTCCTCAGAGATCTCGCGCTCAACAGAATGCCTTCGGGAAGTGTTACCACCATTAGGACGTTTTTCTGTGTTTGGTGCTGATGAGGAGACTCGCACGGCGACGATACGTGGGCGAGGTGCTGCCCATGCCCGACCATCCATTGTGAATGCCTTTACAAACGGGGCATCAGCCGATACTTCATCTACTTCTAGTCCTCCTGTAGCTCCAAGAAGACGCAACAGAAACCGTTCTTTGAGTCCAGAAGTAAATGAAAGTATAGCAGAGAGTGGCACACGCAGATTAGGTGGACGAGTGCGTCGAACCTCTTTTCTAAACCGTCTGTCCAGAGAAGAAAATCCTTATGAGCAGATCACAGATCATATTTATGAGGAGTTACTTTCTCGTTCCCCATCGCGCACATCCACCTTCACTGGCCACAGCAGCAGTCCTACACGTAGCAGCACACCTCACAAGTCGCCGTCTCCAGGAAAGTCCATGTTTGAAGGAGCATCGAAATACGAAATCCTTGAATATCTGCAGGACGCCCGACGGAGAGTAGCCAACACTGTAGATGACGACGACGATGATACGTTACAGGTGAGAATTTATTCTTTATCTTCAAGTACTATAGCCTATTTTACAACGAATAATTGGAAAATATGCTGTACTACATTGGAGACTCAGTGATCACTGGAGACTCAGTGATCACTGTAGACTCAGTGGTCAATAAAGGAGAGGGGTTGTGAAGCTTATTTTTCTGTTAGTCATCAGTAACTACTGTGTTCTCATTCGTTTTTCTTGAAATAGAAATATGTCATTGCTTTACTGTTTTCCTCCATAGATTTTTTCCTGTCATGTAACCACCACTGAGTATTTTCCAACATACGTTTTATTTTTTCCTCTTTGTGAAATCAAGCTACTTTATCACATTACTGTATCAATTTTTCATTTTGCTTGCGCTTATTTATTTGTTAAGGGACTCTGATTAATGCTATTAATACAGTAAGGAATCTTATTTCTTGTGGATACACAAAGTTGTTTTCATATTGTTGAAATATGCCCTTCGAGAGCTGTCGGGAGACGCAGTGGAAATAAGTCACTATGTTTGATTTTTGGGGGTTTATCCTAGGTAATTTACACATATGTTACTATGAATAATAATTGTGCTTATGTGTGCCTGTACCTCAGTAAACTTATTTATGTAGTAACGAAGCAAGTCAAAAGCCAAGCCAGAAGCTTTATCACAGTACTACGAGAATCCTCCTGTTACACTGGTACAGTTGTTGGCTTGTGCGTTGACTTCAAGTGTTCGAATCTTCTGACAATTCTCGAAAAAAATATGACACGTAGGAGGTCATCGAATGCTAAGTAATCGAGTTTGATCCTAAGAAGGGGAAGATAGCTTAAATTCCTTTGAACAAAAGCCCTTCACTAAGCATCAAGGCAAGCCTTTCACCCTCCTTGAAGGTATGGAAAAAATAATGTATTAACCGGAGTTCCCGTTTTAGAGATTTTGTTTTGTGTGACGTTGTTGAATGTTGGTGGTAGTAGTAGCATGCCTGCCGTTCTTAGGACCTGGAGGACGGTCCTCTAGACGTAGACGTGGATCTCGAGGATGAGGAAGAGGAGGAGGACCAGTTGGGTGTTGACCCGTCTGAGGATCACTTCACTGTCCTCACCTCAAGAAACAGAGGCAACAGATCTTCCAACATGAGCTCAAACTCTGACTCCTCGGAGAACAGCGGACTGCTGAGGTCAGATAAGGTAAGGTTTCTCAGTCTTACTAATTACATTTAAGGCTTCAGTGTTAAAGCTTCCTACTGACTTGTGACATCCATGTGTACTTCAACAAGGTAAGTCTCAGTATTGTTTGATCCTAAACTGTCGTTGATGTATTCTAAAACCGAGTAATTTTGGGCTAAAAAAAATTCTCTCTCTCTCTCTCTCTCTCTCTCTCTCTCTCTCTCTCTCTCTATATATATATATATATATATATATATATATATATATATATATATATATATATATATATATATATATATATATACATATATATATATATACATATATATATATATATATATATATATATATATATATATATATATATATATATATATATATATATATATATATATATATATATATATAATATGCAATAAGATCACAGTAAACAGGTGATTTCAGAATATGCAAAAACAACCACTCTGAAAGAATAGAGAAATTCCAAGCGCTTTCGTGACTACTCACATTATCAAGTTCCTTGATAATGTGAGTAGTCACGAAAGCGCTTGGAATTTCTCTATTCTTTCAGAGTGGTTGTTTTTGCATATATATATATATATATATATATATATATATATATATATATATATATATATATATATATATATATATATATATATATATATATATATATATATAAGAGAGTATTTCCTTAGATAATGATACTAGCTATAAAAATAGGATTATTTCGAAAATCAAAATCAGTATTTCAGAGATTCCTTCATATTTTATCGATTATATTACATATTATGCTGGGGAAGTGCTAAATCTGTAGGGGTCGTGTAGATCTTGGTAATAGGAAGTAATGGGGTTTTATCCAGCGAGAGGGAAAGTGGCTACAATTCCCTTGCTAAAAAATCATTCGCCAGCATCAAGGTATTCCTTGATTTATTCCACAGCTTAAATTATGTTAATCACGGTGCGTAGTGAATTCCCTTTCTTCTTCTTATTATTGTTCTTATTCTTATAAAATTTACTTGCATGAAATTCTCTATATAGCGTAATTTCTTGTAAATACGATAAATAATATTGCAACCAATATTTAACAGTGCATGTTATGCAGCTCCTTCCACCATTCAGTTTTCCACGTATTTCTTCGGAAAGCTTACTGCATTATCCCACCTGTATATATATAGCATGTGTGGTACTTACAAAGGAACTGTATACACAGGAGAGGCTGACAGCCGGAGAGGTTGAGAGAACAGACTCGGGCGTGGGATCAGAGACCAGCAAACCTTCAGTGGCAGTTCGTCGTGGACAGAGAGGAAGCGCAGGTGCAGCTATGGTCTTCAGGGACGGCGATGTACCTCTCTGTGACGACTGCGATTCTCCTGTCGACACTCATATTACTAATAGGTTTGATGATTATTATTTGTCTTGTCATTATATGGATTTCTCATGTTGCTGTAATGTGATTATAATTTTTTTTACATAGATTATGTTACAGGTTAAGAGCTGTTATCCTACCTCAGCTCATTGCAAAGCCCAGCTCTGCCTAATGTATACTAACACCTCCTCAAGATCACTTCCCCTACTGTCTTCAGTGTTAAATTTGCACACACACACACACACACACACACACACACACACACACACACACACACACACACACACACACACACACACACACACACACACACACACACAATTAATTGAAATAAGGACGTTACAGTAATGCAACTGAGTTTGGTTACAGTGGCGTGGTGTACGCACCTCTGGTGTGCCGCCGGTGTTCTCGCCGACGCCAGGAGAGGAAGGAAATCTTGACTGAGATTATGGAGACCGAGATCAAATACGGACGAGACTTGCGTGTTATGGTGGACGAGTTTTACAGGTACTACAATATTCAGTATGTAATTCTGTGCTAACATTGTGTTATGAAGTCAAATTAAGTTTTAATAAATAACTATCATTGTATAAAGAGAAGGTTGGATGAGGGGTTCGACCCCCGGTCCCAGCCCCTCGTCCACCCTTCTATTTATTCATATGTTTATTCAAAGCAACCATTGTTTTGCAGCTTGTATCGCTTGTTCGCGATTTTCCCCTGTGTTGATTATATTTATATCTGATTGTTATTATGATGGCTAAACTCACAGCTGTTAAAATTTATAACAGTAATAATTAATAACTAATAATATTTTCGTTTTATTATCATTGTTATTCAGACGGAGGCGCCGAACCCATAAGGGCAATACTGCTCCTCGGTAATGGGAAGCAATCAGATTTTATCCAAGAAAACAAAGGATGCCTCCAATTCCTTAAATTAAAAGCATTCAATGGCATAAATAAACCCAACTTGAAGGGAGAGATAAAGTTACAATAGCGATGTTTGGGTCTAGTATTGAACAGACACATCTTGTTGCTAAAATGTGCCGTCTCTTGCAGACCCATCTTAGTTGCCGGTCTTCTTACTCACGATCAACTCAAGGGGATCTTCCTGAACGTGGAGGAGCTGGTGGAACACAACCGCAGCTTCTCCCTACAGCTGCGTGACGCCCTGGAGATCGCCCTGGACCAGGGAGACGAGGACCTTCTCACCGTCAACGTGGCTAAGCTCTTCCTTCATGCTGCGCCTATGCTGCATGCCTTTGAGAACTACTGTGTGAGACAGGTGTGTGTATTGTATGAGCTAGGTGTGTATATTTTGTGAGAAAGGTGTAAGTATTGGGTGACAAATGTGTTAAACAATTTTGATTTCTTAAAAAAAAAAAATAAATGTTTGTACAAATTGTGTATATGTGTGAGTTTATATATATATTTATGAAGATTGAGACACTTATGCAACATATGGGGATCTTTATTGAGGAAACGTTTCGCCAGAGTGTGGCTTCATCAGTTCAATACAAATCAGAAGGGTGTAAGGAAAGGAGGAGTTTGAGGTAATCAGTCCCTCAGCCTGGAGTCGATGTGTTCAGTCCATCAATCTTGTAGAAAGTACAGCATCGACTCCAGGCTGAGGGACTGATTACCTCAAACTCCTCCTCTCGTTACACCCTTCTGATTTGTATTGGACTGATGAAGAGAACTGGTCGGTTTTTTAAACCATTTATCACACATATATATTTATATATATACGTATTTTATTTTATGAAAAGAGGATAAATAAGAATACAAGATATGATATAGCACGTAATGAAAGTAGTTTGTTACATTATATATTGGTGTATAAAAGGTTGATGGGTAGGCTTCAGGATGTACATGTTTGTAGAGGGGCAACGGATATATCGTATCATTAGTTGTAGCTACAGTTAGAGTAAGAGGTAGATGGGACAAAAGGAAAATGGCAACAGTAAGAGAGAGATGAAAGTTTATAAACTAAGGGAGGAGGAAGTTAGGGTGAGATATAAGCAATTACTGACAGAAAAGTGGACTAGTGCAAATATGAGTAGTGTGGGGATGGGGGTGATTAGGGATGGGATAGTTTTAAAAAAGGAGTATTAGAATGTGGTTCAGAAGTTTGTGGCTATATGAGGGTGGGTGTGGGAGGAAAGAGGAGTGATTGGTGGTACGATGAGGTAAAGGGTGCTTATGAGAGGTTTTCACGAAGCAGAAATGATATAAGAAGAGCAGAGTATATGGAAAATAAAAGAGAGGTGAAGAGAGTGGTGAGAGAGTGGAAAAGGAGAGCAAATGATAGAGTGGGAGAGGCACTGTCAAGAAATTTTGCTGAGAACAAGAAAAGATTTTGGAGTGAGATAAACAAGTTAAGAAAGCCTAGGGAACAAATGGATTTGTCAGTTAAAGACAGAGTAGGGGAGTTAGTAGATGGGGAGATGGAGGTATTGGGTAGATGGCGAGAATATTTTGAGGAACTTTAAATGTCGACGAAGAAAGGGAGGCAGTAATTTCATGCACTGGCCAGGGAGGTATAACATTTTTTAGGAGTGAAGAAGAGCAGGATGCGAGTGTGGGGGAGGTACGTGAGGCATTACGAAGAATGAAAAGGGGTAAAGCAGCTGGAACTGGCGGGATCATGACAGAAATGTTAAATGCAGGGGAGGGAGGGGATATAGTGTTGGGGTGGCTGGTATTTTTTTTTAATAAATGTATGAAGGAAGGTACCTAGGGATTTGCAGATAGCATGTATAATTCCTTTATACAAAATGAAGGGGGACAAAGAAATTGTAAAAATTATAGAGGAATAAGTTTATTGAATATACCAGGTAAAGTGTATCGTCGGGTTAATACTGAAAGAATTAGAGGTCAAACAGAGAGTAGGATTGCAGATGAGCAAGGAGGCTTTAGAATGGGTAGATCAGGTGTTGCATTGAAGCATACATGTGAATATTATTTAGATAAAGGTAGGGAAGTTTTCATTGCATTTATGGATTTAGAAAAGGCATATGATAGAGTTGATAGGAGAGCAATGTGGCAGATGTTGCAAGTGTATGGAATAGGTAGTAAGTTACTAAATGTTGTAAAGAGATTTTATGAAGATAGTGAGGCTCAAGTTAGGGTGTATAAGAGAGAAGGAGATTACTTCCCGGTAAAAGTAGGTCTTAGACAGGGATGTGTGATGTCACCATGGTTGTTTAAAATATTTATAGATGGGGTTGTAAAAAATTAAATGCTAGAGTGTTGGGGAGAGAGGTGGGATTAAATTATGGGGAATCAATTATAAAATGGTAGATGACACAATTACATTTTGCTGATGATACTGTGCTTTGGGGGGATTCTAAAGAAGAATTGCAAAGGTTAGTGGACGAGTTTGCGAGGGTGTGTAAAGGTAGAAAATTGAAAGTGAATATGGATAAGAATAAGGTGATGAGGGTATCAAACGTTTTAGATGAAGGAAAATTGGATATCACATTGGAGGGAGGGAGTATGAGTGTGAAGAATGGGTTGAAAATGCTTCAGTGAGGAGGTGGCTGGAGGCAGTGGAGATGTCGTGTCTAAGGGCAATGAGTAGTGTAAATACTATGCGCAGATTTCGTAGTGTGGAAATTAGGAGGTGTGAAGTTACTAAAAGCATTAGTCAGAGGGCTGAAGAGGGATTGTTGAGGTGGTTTGGTCGTTTAGAGAGAATGGGACAAAGTAGAATGACTTGGAGAGCGTATAAATCTGTTAGAGGGAGGGGGGTAAAGGAGGTTTTGTGGGCGAGGGGCTTGGACTTCCAGCAAGCGTGGCTGAGCGTGTTAGATAGGAGTGAATGGAGACGAATGGTTTTTGGGTCCTGACGAGCTGTTGGAGTGTGAGTAGGGTAAAATTTTGTGAAGGGATTCAGGGAAACCGGTTAGCCGGAATTGAGTCCTGAAAATGGGAAGTACAATGCCTGCACTTTAAAGTAGGGGCTTGGGATGTTGGCAGTTTGGAGGGACGTCTGAGCTGTCGTATCTGAGAGTCTCTGCAAAGACAGTGGTTATGCATGAGTGATGATGAAAATGTTGAATGATGAAAGTTTTTTTCTTTCTTTTTGGATCATCCTGCCTCGGTGGGAAACGGCAGACATGTTATGTATATATATATATATATATATATATATATATATATATATATATATATATATATATATATATATATATTATATATATATATATATATATAATATATATTATATGCAAGACAGACCACAGAGGGTGGAAATCTTTAGCTCAAGAACTTTCACATTTGTCAGCCCGTCATCAGGAGCTTCGCAATGATGCAAGACTGCAACTGAAGGATAATGTGAGAAATCACGAAAGCGTTTAAATTCACTATTTTTTTACAGTGGTTGTTTTGCATATTGTGATATCATCTGTTTAGTGATATCACAATATCCATGACATATCATATCTTCTCGTTGTGTGTGTGTGTATATATATATGCGTGTGTATTCTACTTTTGACAGACATAAATTTTGAGTGTGCCATTGTCAACAGGGTTCAGCCTCAATATTACTACAAACACTAGAGAAAGAGAAGGAGCTGCTGAGAATATTCCTCAAGGTATCACAGATGGAGAACACGTTACTGCGACGCATGAATCTACATTCCTTCTTGATGGTAAGTAGTGTTATATCAAGATGTAAATCTTAGCCGCCAGCAGTTTGTAAATGTTGCCTATGTAATATTATTATTCTTATTCTTAACAGTAGTAGGGCTGTTATTCTTATTTTATTGTTAATACTTATATTTTTAATAATGATATTTTTAATTATCATCCTCGTTATCATCATTACCACTATATTCACTCGAAAGCTGTAAACCCAAAGGATGATCCTGTGCCTGGGGAATGGGAAATAATCCCCCTTCATCCGATTAATGGGAGAATAGTTAAAATTCCCCTGGTCAAGAGCTCTCCACCAGCCTCGAGGCACCCTCTTGAAGTGTCAGCAAGTAATAACAATTCTTGTCTCTCCCTTTCTTAAATCTTGATATTGGCAGTTTGGAGGGATATGTTGTGTATCTTTATATATATATATATATATATATATATATATATATATATATATATATATATTATATATATATATGTATAACAAGTCGGCCGTCTCCCACCGAGGCAGGGTGACCCAAAAAGAAAGAAAATCCCCAAAAAGAAAATACTTTCATCATCATTCAACACTTTCACCTCACTCACACATAATCACTGTTTTTGCAGAGGTGCTCAGAATACAACAGTTTAGAAGCATATACTACGTATAAAGATACACAACATATCCCTCCAAACTGCCAATATCCCGAACCCCTCCTTCAGAATGCAGGCATTGTACGTCCCATTTCCAGGACTCAAGTCCGGCTATATAAAAATAACCGGTTTCCCTGAATCCCTTCATTAAATATTACCCTGCTCACACTCCAACAGATCGTCAGGTCCCAAATACCATTCGTCTCCATATACGTATATTTTCAGGTGCCAGTTCAAAGAGTGACTAAATACCCGCTGCTGCTGGCCAGACTGTACAAGGCGACGCCGCCAACTCATCCTTCGAGAGAGGAGTGTCGACGTGCCAAGGAGAAGATTGAACTGCATTTGCAACACATGAACAATGTGAGTAGACTACTCGAGACGAGATCGGAACACTGAATGGGGGTATATTTGTGTATGCGATGGCTCTGAATTGCGAAAAATAGCTTGATTAGAGTATATCTCTGCGGGGGTTGCTCCTGGTCTGCGGAGAGTATTTTGAAGTGCGGTACACCTGTGCGAGAGATGGTTCAAGGCTACGGAAAATAGTCTAAAGAGGGTACATCTCTGTGACAAAAGATATTTGACTGCGGAAAATAGTATGAGTAGGGAACGTCTTAGCAAGAGCTGGTCTTGGACCGTGGAAGCATCAGGAGTATCTACAGGTTTATTACTCTGATTTCCAGAATGATTAGAAACCCAACGACAACAACAACAAAGCGATGTGATTACGTGTAGAAGTATGTCATCTTGAGAGTAATTAGTAGTGGAGAAAAAAAGATCACAGTATCGTGGCTGGAGCAATTTACAAACAACCCAAGATGTTCGAAACGAAAGTATAGAAGACGTTTCGGTCCGTCCTTATACATATAGAGGGAAACCAAAGAAGCGGAAGTAGCGTGACGATGAAGTGCAGTTGTCACATGAGTGTGGGCGTGGCAGGGTAGTGGACACGTAATTTGAGGGCTTGTGAAGTCCTGACCACTTATGTGACCACTACTCACTACCACTTCATCGCACAACTACGTCAGCTTTTTTGGTGAGCGAAATGTCTCTCAATAAGGATACCCAGGCGATGTACAAGGCTTTATGAACACTAAATGAACAAATGTACAGACTGAAAATAATAGTAAAAATAATGGAATGTAATACAAAAATAATTTTTTAGGATTTTTTTTGCAGAATTATTATTATTATTATTATTATTATTATTATTATTATTATTATTATTATTATTATTATTATTATTATTATTATTATTATTATATATTCATTAAGTATTGCTAAACCTGTGGGAGTCATAGAATGTCTGGAGAATTTGAAATAAACAGATTTGATCCATTCTTGAAGGGATGGCCGTAGAAGCCTCCTCCATGTCGGCCTCAAGAGATAAATAAAAGATCTGTTATCGGAGTATAATTTCCTTCATTGACAGATTACGTAATCGATCGCTAAATGTTTTATTTTCCCTTATTGTTTCCCGTAGGAAACGAAAGATATGAGTCCTACCAAATTGTGGAGAAGGATCTCTATGAGCGTTGGGAGCGGAGCTCCTCTGAAGCGTCCATCACAACCACACGACTTCTCAACCAACCTCAAGCTCAGGAAGGTAAGTCAACATTTTTCCTCCTATTATCCAGAATATAAAAATAATGTCACAATTCCGTGTCTGTAAACAATTAACACACAAAAAATAAACTTCACTCTGGAAAGGAAACTTGTGACGAGTTTTCGTTCCCTCATACTATGTCCTGAAAAGTTGCCATGGATGAGTTATTTGTGAATTCCTCTTACGATGTTGATAGCAAGATGAACTGAAAAGGATTATGCTTTGGAGTGAATGTTGAAAAAGAATATATTTTGAGTGAATGGGAGTCCACAAGGACCAAGAGAATTTCACTTGCACCACTGACGCTTTCCTTGAAGGGAAACAATATCGTAAAAAGAATAAAAAATTTTGATTTAATCATATTGGTTCTAATGTAAACAAAAGGCTAACATTTGTGTCGAAAATGATAAGATTATTTTACGCACTCGATGTATTTCTGTTTATGTATCGTAATGTGCTCCCACTTGATGTATCAACAGTTGGCACTGGAAGTTTTAGAGTGGAGCGCAGAGGAGGCAAGAGTGGTAAGAGAAGGTCGTCTTTTCTGCCTGGCACCAGACTCCAACAACTGGACGAGGCGAGGTCGCTCCCTCAAGATGGCTTCAGTCCATCTTCTACTCATTACACTCGGCTCAGTAAGTCACGGGGAAGCCCTAAACCCTTGAGAGTTATGGAAAGGAGAGGGTGGCTAATTAAGTTTGACATAAACAAGGAAGGGTGTTAATGTTGTAGTTATATAATTGTAGTGTAAGCGCGCCTCTGGCAAGACAGTGATATAGTGAATGATGAAAGTTTTTCTTTTTCGGGCCACCCTGCCTTGGTGGGAGACGGCCGATGTGTTAATAAAAAAATAAATAATAAAATAATATAAACAAGGAATGGGCTGCTTTTGTATTAATATATTGTTTAGCTATTCTTATTTAATATTTCTTCTGCATTCCAATACTGAAAGATGATGTTTCTATCCATTTTGAACTGAGACTTGGTTATATATTTATGTCTATTATTGGATGGTGAGTGAGGAAAGGGAGGCGGCTGGGGGAGGGGGATGTGTGAAATGGACGAAAAAGGGTATAAGGAGAGTCATTAGTAGAGAAAGGGAGTCAAAGTGAGAGGAAAAGAAGGAAGAAAAGGAAGGTGGAGGTAATGCATTAGGGGTAATTGGAAATTAGAGAAGTGGGAATATATGTAGTACTGGATTGTGAGTATGAAGCCACATGTATGGATGAGTATGTATGGGAGAATGTACGTGGGAGATTGTTTATACGGGCAAATGTATGAATGAATTCGCATGAGTGTGTGTGTATGTATGAATGCGACGTAACCATAGTCTTTTAAGAAAATGCAAAATAGGAAGACGAACATGAACAGTATAAATTTTCAAGGAAAATGTAATTTGTAAATAATTTTTTAAAACTTTCAGTTCACTGAAACTGAAACGAGGACGCGAACATAGCTCTTAGAATAACCTTCAAGCACTTACGCAATTCTTATAAAACATATAAACAATTCTTTTGCCGGTGTTTCCCTTGGGGGAAAAAACGATAAAATGCAAACACTGGGACGTTTTATTGGAAGTGTCCCTGTGTTTACGTTTAATGTTTCCCTCCCCCCTCCCCTCCCCATGTCCTCGACGGTATCACATATTTATTTTCACTGGTGTTTCACTATGCAGCCGACGTTTGTGTTTGAGGACGCAGTGCCTGAGGATGGTCTGGTGACACCCCGAAACCTCAATATAAAAGACGCAGCAATACTCGCCTTCAAGGACCACAAAGTATCCAAAGCTGCTCTCATCAGAGTGAGTATATCGAAAATCACATTTAAATTCTTTCATATCAAATAGCAACAGTGTATGATAATAACTGAGAATATAAGTCAGAGTTCTTTGACTGATACAATACCGTTGGTGGAACGATTCACCCACAACCGTAGTTCGGTTAGTAGTGTACTCAGCTCGCACACTAAGGACCGTGGTTCGATCCCGGTCCAGGTGGAAACACTGGGGGGAGTGCTTTCTTAAGACACCTGCTGTCCCTGTTCACATAGCAGTAAATAGGTACCTGGGTGTTATTCGACTGGTGTGTGTCGCATCCTGGGGACAAAATTTACCTAATTTGCCCGAAATTCTCTTCATAGCAATGGGTTTTCTCTATAGGATGTATGTCACTGATGTCAGTTAAGACTGTATAACGTGTGTCATGTACTTTCTAGGAATAGATTATTATTATTTATTATTATTATTATTATTATTATTATTATTATTATTATTACAAGAGGAAACTTCGATCCGTCCCGAATCATTATCAAGTCAAAACTGGTCTAGTTTCCACTTCTGTCTTTATTTATGAATGATAGTCGTTGATAGAACTATCTTCACTGAGAAGCGCTAAGAACGTAAGCATCACACAGTACCTGGGATAGTATAATTTGACGCAAGGATAGAGCTGCTATATTCCCTTGGGTCAGAAACTACCAGTATCAAGGGCAATCTAGGATAGGACTAGCCAGTCTTGGGATTAGACTAGTTTCCTCGTGAAGTGTTAGTTTCATTCTCATTGTTTTTTGTCTGCAGTTACCTTAGTGATTGTCATGTTATATTCGTAATAATATCTAATAAATATTCAGTTGATTTTAAAGCAAACAAGAAACACCTGAAACACCAAGAGGTGTTGTATTGTTGTGGTTCAGCAGGTGTTGTGCAGGTGTTTTAAGGATGTTGGAATAGAGGAGAGTTGAATGGTGTTTTATCGGGGATCCAACAGTGAATAGGGAATGGGTGGTGACCAGGATTGATCCAAGGAAGAAGAAGGTAGCTCACATTCACTTACCTGAGAGATCTTCACCACCACCAATGTGCTCATGGAGAAAAAAGACAGACAAATACAGTAGGAGTATAATGTGATCCCTTATTGATGACGTTACGCCCACACATTTGCTACTTGATGAGGTATACTGTGTGGGCAAAACCTCATCAAGAAAGGATCGCACTACTCTACATTTGTGTCAATAACATGCAAATATACATGACTAAAACATGGCATTATGCAAGTTATGGCACTTATTGAGAAGACGTTTCGTCCGAAGGGGCGAAACGTCTTCTCAATAAATTCCATGCACACTGTGTCTTTTTCACATACTCGGTATATATTACCACTGACATTCATATATAGAAAAAACTGTTGGTATTAGAAATAAAATGCCGTGATAATTACGACTCCAACACTGCTATTAGATGATTCACACCACAAGAGATCCTTTTATAAGGGATTAACACGAAAATTTTCTTTTTGGTTGAGTAGCACGAGCCTTGGTTGCTAAGTCGTTGTGTGGTGGCCTGGGAGTGTGAGGGCGAGACAGAGTGCTTTGAACTCACTGATCTCAACTCTAGGGATACGTATATCTTCAAGGTAAGACCAGTGACGATTATTACTACTGTTATTATCACTTGTTATTAATATTATCGCTGTTATTATCACTATAAACCATACCCCCGGCCGGGATTGAACCCGCGGTCATAGAGTCTCAAAACTCCAGCCCGTCGCGTTAGCCACTAGACCAGCTAGTGGCTAACGCGACGGGCTGGAGTTTTGAGACTCTATGACCGCGGGTTCAATCCCGGCCGGGGGTATGGTTTATTTGCAATCGTGTCATTACGATTTCTTAAGTCAGTCTTATTATCACTATTATTATTATCGCTTTTATTGATATTAATATCATCGCTATTATTGTTAATGTTATCGGTATTATTATGAATATTATCGCTATTATTAGTAGTATTAATATATCTATTATTATTAATATTATCGTTATTATTGTTAATATTAACATTAATATTGTTTATTTTTATTTTATAATTATTATTATTCGTATAGGCAAGGCTATAGAGGGCAGTGCGTCTCCCCTTGAAAGGTGATCAAGGCTAGATTGTTTTACAAGTGTCTTTCCATTTGCAGGGGAGTGACAGTACGAGCACAGAGGCTTGGTTTAGATACATTCAGTTCCACGCACTCTCCGTGGGTATGTGGAAGAGGCGGCGACCTGCTCTCGCTAACATCATGATCAACGGCATGAACAGGAGCTAACCAGGATTTGCTGAACATTACAAACTCAGATAACACGAGTTGCAGAAGAGTTTTTTGTGTGTGTGTGTGTGTGTGTGTGTGTGTGTGTGTGTGTGTGTGTGTGTGTGTGTGTGTGTGTGTGTGTGCTGGTTCACCCCTTTTGAATGGGCATGAAATAAATTATGTTATGTTGTGCGCTCAGACCTCTTAACTGACAGATGTAGGAGCTATGTAACCTCTTGAATTTTTGCTGTGTTTGATCTTAAAGTGTTATGCAGAACACGTCTGTGCTGCTTGTTCACCATGTACAGCTCCACCCACTTGCTACCCTCTAGCTCGTGTTAGTGTTCAGTTTCCATTTATCATTCCTTATCATGGCCCCAGCCATTAGAAATTTAATGATCAATTTGTAACTGAGAATTTGACTTTGGGAGATTGGATTCTAGCACTTGATCCCTCCTCTTAACTTTCGATCGACTGATGCGAACTGAAGTTTGACGTCCACTCACAACATCGTTGTTTCCATGTGTGTGTGTGCGTGTGTGTATGTGTGTGTGTGTGTGTGTGTGTGTGTGTGTGTGTGTGTGTGTGTGTGTTTGTGTGTGTGTGTATGTGTGAGCCTGTGTGTGTTAATATACGTCCATGTATGTTTTTTCTACTACTAGTGTCGTGTTTGATCTTATGTCTGACTTTTATTGAACATTGTGTTATTTTAGCAGTTGTCAAGTCACACTAAACCAAATAAATAAGCATTTGACATTCCTATTAGCATAGTTTTGTACTGCTTTCTGTCACTGCCGTGACAAGTCACCAACCTTGCGTGGAAGGAACATTTGCAGTGATGCGTCACAGGTGTTAACCTTGTCTCCTGCTGTGTGGAACACATGCAGTGTCGTACCACAAGTGCCACCTTTGTGTAATGTGTGAAACACATTAAGTGTCATGCCAACAAGTGCCAGTCTTGTGTACTGTTGTGTGAAACACATTAAGTGTCATGC